TATCATTTCATTTATGTTTCTTGTGCAGGTAAGGAATATTTTAATAGCTATAAAAATTTTTATGATTCCACATAAGCACACGATTCTGCTGTGCGTTGATTTCATTTGCATATTTGTATTCAACATTGTCAGTATATTTGTAATTGTTCACGTCCATTAATGAACAACTTCTGAACTCTGAAACGTAATGGGGAAAGAAGCACTATGCGATGGATAATAGCTCTAAGTCTTTCATTGCACTGAAGAAGCATTAATGATTGAACATTATGATCGAAGTCAGTCAAACGGAAGTACCTAGCTTTTCAGAGGAAAACTTCAACGTTTAGAATCGATTTAATGTATTTTCAGAAACTGCATTACATAAAAATGCAGTCCTATATCCACTGCAGACAATATTCGATTTCATGGATAATATTTATTTCGATAAGAGGTTGGTCATTAAACCTAGACTGAATTAGAAATTAAATCTACTTTACAATATTGCTTATTAAAAGTTTCTTAATAAGTAAAGTCTTTATAATTATTTTCAATGTTACTAGCATATTTAATGTTTAATCTTTTGTTGATTAATTATTCATGTGCAAGTAAACCTGCTATAGATTCATGTCAGGAATACCTAACATATCACGTACAACAGGCATTTAATTTAACAATCGAAAAGTACTTTTAGTACACGGTTTTTAAAGGGATCTGATATCTAATATATGATTACGGATAAACTGAAAGATTAATTAGCCAAACTATAAAGAAGAAAGCATCGTAGTTGTTTCTAGAATAACATCTTACAGAAAAGGAAGAGAGCATATCAGCTACCACTGAAAATATATTAAACAGACATTTCAAAATTTCTCAGGCAGTTCTTTACTTTCGTAATTTCCTAGAATAAAGTTATGAGATTGGAAGTTAAAAATCTGAAAATATCTTCTACGTCAAATAAGAAGTTCATTCGAAAATTATTTGAATATCAAGAGATAAGAATTAAATTAGACAACCTTTAGATGTTAAAAATCTGCAAGAAAAACTCACTAGTATTTTTTAATATTAAACTGACATTTTAAAGAACAAATCGATGTCTAATATCAGCTCAGGTTGTGTGGGACCTAACTGCCTTAAATGTTAAATTTCTGGCTCCGTGAACGCAGACGACTTATTGACTCGTCTTAATCATTAAAGTAATACCTTGTTAGGACAATATTTAAAGCAAACTTTTGGTATCAGATCTTAAGTCAAATAGTTCGCGGCGCAGCTCGTACAATAAAAGAAGGATCCGGTGTGTGCCAGACAACAGAGAGCAAACGTTAAAATAAAGCTTAAGAATTTAAAATGCTAAGTACGCAAGACAAAGTTCGCCTATAAATTTTGGTTCGGCCCTCAACTCGGATGAGCAAGCACGGCTAGCAATGTCGAAAGCAGATCCAAGGAAATTTAGAAGCTAGTCGAAAACTAGTATTGAGACGGTCAGTGGTTGCTGTTAAAAGCTTCCTGTAAGTTGAAGAGCTGTTTTTTTATACCCATTAACTAAGTGGCATTTTGGTAGAAGCAGATGAAAGTGGAAGTGATAGTGCAGGAAAAATAGTAAAATAAGTGGTTAACAAACATTACCCTACAAGGTTAACAGAATGACTTTTACATACAATCTGTTGTTTGGATCTAGCTATGTTATCATCAAAAATGAACTATAAAGTAATTTTTTTATGAAAGCTCACAACGGAACTGAATTGAGCATGAATTGAAAATTTTTTTAACCTGAATACTTACTTTTAATTACACTTTCATTTTTATGTCCTCTTTCTGAAGTGCTCGTTTTATGATAAAAAATTCTGAAACTGATTCTTTATTTTATCTTAAGGATAAGCACAACACTACTAAATACTAAATAATCATCACCTTCCTCTGTTTTTTTCCAGTAATTAGGTTTGCATACGTGGTAAGAAATACAGGGTTGATTTGAAAGAAATAAACACTTTCAGTGTCTTATAGAAACACGAGTTTTAATAGCACGACTATACTCGTTAGACGATTAGGGAACATATCCCTACATGGTAAAGTTACACACTTTTGTAACGCGGCAGATATCAACGCGATAGGTAAATTCTCAAACGCGTCTCAGTACGTCCGTGGCCAGCAGTCGCAATAATAGTCGTGATGCTTTCGTTGTTTATCTATGCATACAGAAAGGGGAAAGAATAAAAACTTGAGGAACTTGAAGTATTCGCATAAGAAATAGTCACATGGTGTTAAATCCGGGCTTCTTAGTAGCCAACGTGCCACAACCAACGTCTCGTCTAGTGAACGGCCAGTCGAAAGCTGCGACAGATTTTCGTCTTTACCATGTTCTAAAACGACGCTGTACAACAGTAACAAAACTTGTTTTGCATATTCATGCGCAGGAAACGCTTTTTTTTTTTTTTTCCCTGACTAGCTGCTACATTGCTTGGCTGACGTCAAAAACGCTCACGTAATGATGACGTCATGAAAATAAGCAAAAGGTTTGTTTTGGATTAATTGATTATCGCAAAGCAATTGAGGGCTATCTGCGTAACGGAAGGGATTCCTTCATGGAGGTCTTTCTGAGGAAAACTGGTTATATACAAGAAACACATGGGGAAAACCCCGAAAGCGCCCATGCAGCCAGCCTGTTCACCGCGATTCGAACTTCGGACAGAACTACCAGTGTTCAAGTAATAATTTTAAAAAAGTTACAGAGTCTCGTTCTCTTTGGGAACATAAAATAACGAGCTATAAAGTCTGTATGAGGAATTATCCCCAGGTCTTAATGATAATAGAATTCAGAAGAAGGGTGTAACGAACCCTTTATTCATTCAATATAGTTGCGCAGATGGCCCACTAGGGCTTACACAAAGCCAACACTTCTGGCTTAACTAAAAACAGATAACGATAAACTTAAAATAGAATGTAATAAATTTAGCCTAACGCCTCATAACTTAGCATGCAGGTAGAGATTGGCGAAAACAAGCTTAATGGCTAGAAGCACTCAACGCCAGATAATCAAATCACTAATAATTGAAAATAGCAATGTGGTCTTCAAGCAGGCATAACACGTTCTAAAATCACCTTCCAAAACCTTCCCTTAAATAGCACGTCTTTCTACCTCATTTGAATACATGCGTGCTAGCTTATTAACATTCTGGCAGAAAAGCGTGGGTGAAAACGAGACTGAAAGCAAAGCTGCTTTAACTATGTGTGTGTGATTATGGCAAAGCCTCGAGGACTATCTGCCTAAGGGAAGGGGTGCCTTCGTGGAGAACTTTCTAAGGGAAACTGGCTCGTATACACGTTACACATGGGGAAAACCACGAAAACGCCCATGCAGCCAGCCCGTTCGCGGGATTCGAACCTCGGACCGAACTACCAGTGTTCAGCGACTTTACCGCTCGGCCGCTGGTGGGCGCTGCTTTAACTAAAAATTAACTATTAGTAAAACTAAATATATCTCCACAAAGTATTTATCCATTCCTAGTTGCAGTTAAAAGAACTTAATGTAAATTCACAAAATAAGTAAAAGGAAAACCGAATCAAACATAATTTGTACTATATAATTAAGCCTGTGCTCTAGAGGGATTTTACATTTAAGTAAATGCCACGCATAGCTTAAATTTTAATTGCAGGTTAAGTCACAAAATCAAAAATTTACGAAGCCTAATAAACTTTCTCCGGAACACTTGTTTATTCCAGTGACAATTAATCTAAAATAAATCCGAATAGAGAAATCAAGCATAATTAGTAACTGGATAGCTGGATATTTTAGTCAGCGAGAAACAGTCTGCCGAGAATTCTAAATTTTTACGCTGTAGATATATTCTCAATAGCATTTAATGGCTTATTGGCACTTGTAATGTGTTCTGAACTTTAACAAAAGGCTAAAATAAATAAATTTGATAAGTATTTGAACATTTGCTTGTTACTAATGACTGCATCTAGATTTTTCATAATTAATTATATGAAGCCGTAGCAGAAAACATATTTCTACTTTTTCGAAGAATAATATAAATATTTTCATCCAATAAACTGCCATTTCTGCGAATTTATTCGAGGAGCAGAAATGCCCATAAAATACAAAATTTCTAAACGAGAATAGGCTTTAAAAAAGAAAAAAAAAAAAAACCTAAAGCGATCTATGTTGTAGTTCGTAAACTATAAGCGCGCAAAAGTTTGAATTTACAGTGTGTTTTTTTTTAAATTAAATAAATTATGGAAAAATAGGGATGTCATAGAAACAGAGTGTGATATATTGAGTAGAAAATGCATATTTATTACAATTACGCAAAACATATTTTTAAGGAAATTAAATATATACTTAATCAGTGTCACTACTATTGGACAAAATGAGATATTTCCAATAAAAATAATCCCAGCGGTTTTTGAACGCAATTAACAAGAAATCCTTTTCGAAGGATAATAATGGCCTTTGAAGAAATTTTATGAACATTCATTTTAATTTTACATTAATAATCTTGCTAAATTTATTGCGCTGTTCCATACCGGTGACCGTTAGCTCATTGCTGATGATTAACGGTTAGGATGGTCGCCTCACAAGTTCTAACAATCCATCCAAATGATATAATTTTAAATCCTTTTAATTTGTAATATATTTAACTGATAACTTTCATGAATATTTCCTGCATTATTTTAGCTACCAAAAGATGAAAAAAATTTCTAATTCCATATATTGTATAAATTTGAGATTTTTGTATAATTAGTTAGTTAATTAAATTATTTGCTAATTACAATTAAATGCTTTTAACTTATGAATATAAGACGTTTATAACTATGAATTTATAACTTATGAGTAAAATATAATTAACTTATAATATTCTCTCGGGTGCACACAAAAAGAAATTAAGAAGAACAAAAGAAGGGGACCTCTTTGAGTCACTTCCTTTGTTTGAAATTGTCCCCAGAATGCAGCAAGAATAGTTTGAAAGAATTTACTAGTTTACAAGACTAAACACAATAATGTTTTTTCTTTTATTTTTCAGAAAGCTTCCTTTTAAGACGCATCATTAAGTGAGCAGCTAATTAAGCATTGTGTTTGTTTAATCACGTATGGAAAAGCCCGAAGAGATGTCTGCCTATGGAAAGGATGCCTTCATGGAAGAAGTTCAAAACGAAAATGGTTACAAACGGGAAATACAGCTAGCCCGTTCGCCAGACAAAAAAATCTAGATCGAACTACAAAGTTCAGCAGGCTGATCTCTTTGGTCACTTACGAATTTTTTAAAGAATTTAATGTAATTTTCTTCAGAAATATAGAAAGCAAATTAGATAAAATTTGAAGAAAACGATGTCTGAAATTCGCATGGTAAATTTCTAAGTTATTTTATGATGTATCAAGATTAATTCTATGTAGCTACTCTTAAATGCAACGTAATGAATTTCGGAATTTAGCGTTCTTCAATTCCAAGAACGCTTCCTTAAGAATTCCTGGGATGTTTCTAAAGATGTAGATTTTAATCTAACATCATCTCAACTGCAATTTATTTAAGACTGTACCTGTCATACTTTCAAGTTAGTTTATTCAGCAGATAAGAGCTTTAAGGAGAAGATGATGAAGGACGATAGCGGAAGTCATTATTATTAAAGTTTAAAGCGGTAGATTCCTGTGTATTATATATATATATATAGAATTGTGATCTGAAGCTGGTTATCTTAGTTGAAAAACTGGCATCAACGGTAACCAATTATCACCTACTTTTAAAATTAAAAGCGTCATGTCACAGGGTTATTATTGCTCACTTTTCGAATACATTTGCTATTATGATGGAAAGTTGATCCTCAATTTACTTATTTACAGGAATCAACTGTTCTTTATATTTAAACAAATTATGAAGAAATAATCTCCTTTGTGATCCCAATGCATATTTAAATAGATATTATTTACAAAATCCGTTTCCGATGCTTTTACATGCCTTACGGTAATGTGAAAAAACAGTATAGGGTAAATTATACAATTCTAAATTCAAAAGACAACCATTTTTTAGCAGTTTCAAGCATAAAATTATCCATTAGTAAAACGTTTTGGAAAATTTACATTTTTCACTTGATTAAAATTTTTATAAACAAAAATTATTTTTTTTTTTTACTTCAAAAGGAAATTTAATGCTTGAATAATTAACAGTATTCTTACTCCAGATCTGTTCGTGCATATTCAAAATACAAAGTAAAGATTTATAAAATATTTTATTTAAGGAAGCTATAAACCGTCCAAAAGTTGAACAAATGTATTGAAAATATGTAATGGTGTTAAAATAAAATTCTTTACATCACATCTCTTCCGTATTCGTACTCTTAAGTACGAATCAAATACTTGAAGGATTTCACTACACTATTAAAGAATTTTGCAAAGTGCTAAATGTGAGCGCTTTATAAAATAATTTATAGCATTCATCTCAGGCATTCTATAAATGTGCGTAAATATATGTTACAAATGGGAATTACTTTACTTTTCAACAATTTTATAATTATATAATTGCTGTTCAATATTGGAGAAATACGTGATTTTAAATAATGAATTTTAATTAGAGTTTGTATCTTCAAAGAAATTGTTATTAGAAGATATTTTACGAAGCTGAAGAAATTTCCTGTTGTTTATTGACTGAATAATGCACGCTTTTCAAAACACGAACCAAAAGCAACCACAATGCTTTTCTAAAATTGCCTCACTAAAGTCATTCTTACATAATCAGACATCCCCCGGCAATGCAAACACAAATGTTTTAAGAAATGAACAAATAATAGTAGTTCTAAATCTGATTTTTACCGATCATTTTTTAATGTCTGTTAATTCAACTCTTCTCAACAGTCTTGAAATCGCTTATAGCTTGTGTCTCAGTCTTGTTGTGTTGTGACTTATCCCACTTGTCTGACAGTAACATCAGAACAAACCCACGACTATACAGTTACAAACATGCATGCCTTCTTCGGGATTCGAACCCGGGCTCTTCGGTACCGCAGTAGGTTCCCCTAACCACTATACTGTCTGAGCGGCCTTAGTCTTATTAAAAGTCTTGTAGTCAAAAAGATTTAAAATGCGCGAGGTGATTGTAAAATTCCTTAACTTCGAGTTGAAAATTTTAGTTTAGAGTTATACTTGAATGCAATTTTATTTACACATTTCATGTGACTTGTGAACAAGCAATGTTGCCTTGTAGAAAGTGCTAGATATGCTCCGTATTATAAACTGCGAACTGTAGTTCCGCAAGAATAAATATTTTTTGCAAGCCACCACTGACAGAAAGAGAGAAGAGAAGAGAGAGGGGGATAAAGAATTGATTTCCTCTGCAATACCTCTTACGCCTGTTTTTTAGGCTTGCAACGTCATGTGTTTTGTCTGCGCTATATACGCCTTTCAATATCCCTTTAGAAATACAGTCCTTTAAATGTAAATAATTTGCATAGGAGAGATCTGGTGACTGGGAGAATCAAAGCTGTTCCTGCATCATTAAACTACTTATTTAAATTTTTAGTGACTATATTGAATCAAAGCTTCAGAATATACAGTAAAATTGGGAGTATAGAGAGATCAATTATTTCTTTTTGTGCCGAACTATTTCGAGTATTCAGTAAGAGTTTGTGTGATTTTGAAAACTTCTTAAATCATTTGGCACCACCATTTGTAAAAATTTTATTACTATTGCCCGCAGAATTCCACCCATTTTAATATACCTATAGTTCCGGAAACTTAATGTTAGAATAAATGTAATAATAGTGTCTCTTTCGCATCATAAAACTGAGAAGCATAAAAATGAACTGTGTGCTGAGCTGTATATTGGCGAGAAAGAATTCACCTTATGCCTAGTACCTACCTGCTTTTTCACCTGAGCCAGAACGTTAGTCACTCATTATTTATTTTCCTGCCATGTTACCTTCCGTCTTAAGGTATACTCCTGCGACTATTGCCTAATAGGTAATCCTGAAGATATTTCTGACTGATGATGAAGTCTATATAAGATATTTCTGACATGAAGATGTTTATGACTGCTGAATAAGTCTAAGTTCTTTTTCAACATCTTCAGTATTAAATATCTGTGAAAATTGGTAATTTAATTTAATTGCTAATTTAAGCAAAACTCTCTTACTTGTTAAAAAAAAGATTTCATACTTATTTTGACTTGTTATTCTTTAACGAAACTATGCTAAATAGAGGACAGTGAACTCAAAACGCCTTTAGCTGTGTTAATGAACCACCAATTACCTTTATAAAAATCTGAAAACATATTGTTAAAGACCATACAGCGTATTAATCTCTGCTGTATAACTATTACGATATATGAATGAATATACGTAAATATCAGATGGTGTGGTGTATTTAATTATGGCAAAGCACACTAGGGATATCTGCCTAAGAGGAGGGATGCCTTTCGTGGAGGACTTTCTAAGGGAAACTGGCTCGTATACACGTTACACATGGGGAAAACCACGAAAACACCCATGCAGCCAGCCCGTTCGCGGGATTCGAACCTCGGACCGAACTACCAGTGTTCAGCGACTTTACCGCTCGGCCGCTGGTGGGCCTCGTAAATATCAGCACTCGGAGAATTTCAAATAGGGATGGATATACAATTTTTATAGAAATCATATTTTCTATATAAATCAGTTCATCATGCAAGTTTTTGTATGAAAAAAACTGATTTATTTTAATATCTTATGCACAACGCTTATCCTTCATGCGAATATAATCAGTGTGCGTTCTGTTTTTTTTTTTTTTTTTTTTTTTTTTTTTTTTTTTTTAATTGCCTTTCTTTATTTTCCCCTTTTCTTCAGTCTTTTGACAGCCGGCAATTTACTTTTCGCATTTAATACGTTCCTTATTTTGGAACTTAAAAGGTGGAAACTAGACAAACAATCCTTGCGACAAATGACATCAAACACTCATTGTTTTCTGCGTCATAGCAAAACGGAATCTAAATGATACTCTATTAAGTCCTGGAACGTAAAACTGTCCAATTAGAAGAAAAAGGCGCAAGTCTTGAATAGAAAAGCTGAATGTATGACACTAACTGGACGCAAGATAATGGGAATCAGAGCACGTCAAGTGACAAATCGCTCCAAATGAACGCTAGTTCAATTTCGGGTATGTTCCTATGTTCCCTGATCATTATGCTGACAAAACAAATAACTAATAATAAGTTGTTCAGCATTTATATATTAGAAAGTTATACTTAATGAGCTTACAGAATGTAAAATATGCAAAAACTTATTTAATATTTAAACTACAGACGTTAAACCTATGTTGCGTATTTTTTGTTCATATATATGTGCTTAAGTATCATAGTAGTGCATAAGTAAGTTCATGTGCATAAATATGTGCAGGGAACTATTTTTTTCCTCGAGAAAAGTTATAATGTCAAATATAATATCAAAATATGTCACTTTAATCTCTCTCCCGTTTAAGTTATCCACTACTTCAGAAATTCTATATACATGACGGAAAATTTTCTTTTTTAATAACAGTTACAAATAAATATTATTTAAGTAGCATCTGAAAACGTAAATTTCATAACTTTAAACATGAAAAACGTAAATCAAAATGTAAAAGTAAGTTTGTTGGAAATTAGATCCATTTTGTTAAAATCTAAAGCTTGGCAGTTGTAGTGGTTCTAGAATATAAACAATTATTATGTAGGTTGATATTTATTGCCGAAATATTGCTAAAGCTAGGAAATATATCACATTCAGTCTAATATTCAGTTTTAGAACATAAATGAAGAATATAATTTTATTCATCTACATTTTAAGAAAACAATAACTAACACCTAAGAAAATCTAAATAGGCATTTTTAAAAGAAGAATAAAAAAGCCAAATTTGAAATTACATTGGCACCTACAATGTTACCAACAGTAATAACTGCATTATTACTAAAATAGAAATACAAGATTTCTTCCTTACCGCTTACTTCCATAATGGTAAAGGGTGGTGCCCACGTTCTCCGTCACTAAACTAAACTAAACTAAACTAAACTAAATTACCGCTTACATAAACGTAATTCAGAATAAATTAATTTAATCATGATCAGATTCTTTTTCCAATGGCGGGCACTTGCCTGTAACGGCATTGGCAACTACTAAGGACCAGAAGTGGTGGCCATTTTATTATGGAGGCACCTAATTGGCGGCCACCACTACCTCCTTTGAAGGAATGGGCAATTTTACATCCATGCCTTTTCCGGGATTCGAACCCGGGCTCTTCGGTATCGCACTCAGGCTTCCCTAATTACTATACCGTTTGGATGGCTAATCACGAGAAGATTCAAGGTTTCTATTTATTATAGCAGGATCAAGT